AATCATATTAATAATAAAATTTTTTATTGTAATTAATCGAAATTACTTATTTGTATAAAATAAATAATTATAAAATAACTTGTATTATAAAAATTTGATAAAATATTACCAATTGGAATATGCTATTTGTATAATAAATAATAATAGGAATTTCCTTATTGATAATTTAGGGATAACCCGATTAAAAACTGGATGTTAATAAATTGATATCAATAATAACTCTATTGATATCTTTATAACATTCCAATTGGAACCTTATTGTATCTTATCTGCGCCATTATTTGTCATCAATCGGAATCACCTGATTCTAAAAAAACAAAAAATAGGAGACCAATCAGGTCAAATCTGAGTTGTCAAGATTTGACCTGATTGGTTTCCTATTTAAGTCTAACCTATGGAATTTTAATTTCAAATAGCAATATTATTTACCTACTTTTAAAGTAATATTTTCAAAACTTACAAAATAAGAAAATAAAATATTAATAAATGTTTTATTAAAGAAAAAAACTTTAAAAAATAATATTTAGAAAGTATAATACCTTTAAAATATTACTTCTAAAACTATAACATAAGAAAATAAAATATTATTACCATTTCATTAAATGTTAAAAAAAAATTTTAAAAGTATATACTGCTAATAAAAAAACTTTATTAAAAAAAAATAATTGAAAAAATATTTTAAAACTCAGACACAGATCTTTAGATGTGTGGATAGTCTGATAAAAATTTTATATGTGAAATATTATCCAAAAAACAACTGACTTGATTGGAAAATAATGAGATATAGATTGTTAAATAGTATTTTTGACTATTTCAGTCTGATCATACTAATCAGATGTTATCCTAGCATAATACTATCCTATCTATAATCTTATTATTATATATAATTGATTTTTTTAATTACTTTTAGGTCCTGTTACAATAAGAAAGAGATATAAATTGTTTTTCTATTTTGAAATTAAATCTAATCTTTGATTATCATTATAAAGTTTCTTTTAATTTTATATTAAAGATCACTTTTTATAATCATAATTCAATTATTCAAATCTTTTAATAAATCAACTTTATCTGATTAAACTTAATTACATGTAAAAACAAGCTTTTAGGCATTATGTTTCAGATCTGAAAATGCGTTATATTGCATCTTTGCAACAACAGTCAATTGATAAATATTTTTCTATTAATTAAAATACTTTTAACATAATTAACCTTTAATTCTTTTAATGTAAGTTTAATTTAATGACACATATTTAGGAGTTTTACGAATACAATTACAAAATCTTCCTTTAAGATTATTATTAAAAAATTATTAGATTTTTATTAAGTAGATAGAAGATATTATTGACAAATTAAAAAGGACAATCAAATATACAACTCAAATCATAAAGCTTTTTTCAACAATAATCATATCTTCCGTATCAAAGCAGGCATAATATCTTAATAAATGATCATTTCTTGAAATTTTAAATTTTTAAAAACAATCCAATCATAGCAACTCATTATATTGTCACTGCAGGAAAATTCCTTTTAATTTTCAAGATATAAAAACCAAAGTCTTTTGTCCAAGTACCTGTTATATATTCTTACTACAACAAATAATCTTAGCTAATCCAGCACAATCAAATCTACTTAAACCTGAACACTGTTTGGAATCAAGAGACTTTAGTGAACATCAATTAATGATATTAAGGAACACAGGATGGGCTGGAAATCACTATCTATAATTTTCCAATACCTTGTCTATTTCAAAATTTTATTTTATCTAATCATACTAATGATCCCGTTCACCATCCAAAAAATCAACGTTCTGTTCTGACCAAATGTAATGGTTGTACCTTTAGCCAAGATAGCAAACACTTTAATATCAAAAAAACTGCCTTGCGTAACTTGATCTAATTCACCAATAAGAATAGATATTTAATTTGCCAAATAACAATACAAATGAAAAATTAAGGTATGCATAATGATTACTGTTACAGATGCATTAGAAGAATTTTTTTTTTAATTTTTTTTTTTTTTTTTTTTTTTTTGTTATTACACTACTATTATGGTTAAGAATAATGCATTATAAAAGAATATAATCAAATATCGCTGATTATTAAAAAACCGTACCAAATAGATAATAAATAAAAATCGACCAGAATATATACAGATTAATGGAATCAAATAAAGTGTTGTAGAATATTTAAATTATTTGTTTATATTAAATTCCGGGTTGCAATATTACCCAACTTTTTTTTTATAAAAAAATAAGAATAACTTTGTTATTGCAGTTAAAAAGGACAAATCAAAAGGAAATAGCCTATAATAAAACAACGAACTAAAATACATATCAATTTCTTAACTTGTGAATAAGATAAATTATGGCTCTTTGTGCGTTTTCTGGTGCCGCGTTACTTGATCAGGTCGCGAAAATTTTTTATTACACGTTGTAATTGGGCATTTGAAAGGTCGTTCCCCTGTATGTACTCTCATCTATTTATATACAAAAATATTATTAACTAATAATAAACAAGTGTCAGATAACTTCAAAATTCGCATAATAACAAAAAGGAAAAATTATACATGTTTAGTGAGATTAGATGATTCTGCAAATCTTTTGACACATCCTTCATATTTGCATTTAAAAGGTTTCTCGCCTATAATAAGAATAATATGAAAAATATATATTAGATAGATATATAAATAAATAAAAATTAAGATATTTCAAAACTAATAAATACCTGTATGCACCCTCAGATGTATAGTTAATGCTCCCGAAATAGAAAATTCACGGTCACAATCGGGTTGTGTACATTTGAAGGGACGCTCTCCTGTATGAGTTCTCATATGTTGAGTCATAATATTAGCTTCAGAAAAGCGTTTTTTACAAATAGTACATTGATATGGTTTATCCCCTTAAAAAATCAATATTCAAAGTTAATAAATATATGAATAAAAAAATATTGAAAAAGAATATTTGAATATTTACCAGTATGTGTCTGAATATGTCTCATAACTTTTTGACGTTGAGTAAATGGTCGTCCATTTCTATCACATTTTTCCCAATAACAAATATATTGACTCCTTCCAGATCCGATATGAAGGTCACTAACGTGACCCGTTAATTCTTCAAAGGTCTCAAATCGTAAATGACAGCTTTGCCATTTACACCCATGTCGAAATTCTCGCGTTTCCAAATGGTCTAAACATAAATGTTTGATTAATTCATCACTTCCTTCCTTTTCCATTGAACAAGATGCCCATCGACAGAAATTGCCTTTGCTACGACCAGCAACATGCAATTTTGAAAGATGAGGTATAAGTTCGTCAATGGATCTAAATACAGCAGCACAGGTAGACCAAAGGCATCGCGTCTCATCAAAAGCATCGTCTTCTTTTCGTTTAGAACCTACTTTATTAATTGATGTCGACTCTGTAGTGGACATTGTTGCTATATCTTCGATATCTGAAAGCGATCCAGATTGGGTCGCATCAAATGTGTTTTCGGCATTTTCCTCTAAAGCGGCTTCTGATATAGTCATATTATAAACAGACGGTTCAACTTGACTAATCATTGTTGAAATAGCACTGTTCGATTCTAAAGAAGTCTGGGAATTGATTTACTTAATATTAGAATGTTAATGATGATTTTTCTTTGAATTTAAAACATAAATTTTTAAAATAAATATATATTTGTAAATAACTTTAATATTTTCACATACCTCTATATTTGAAGACATAACTTGTACATTTTCTCCGATTGGAGGAATTGGAACTATCTTTGTTGAAACATTAGAATCTGTATTTTGTTGCTGCCCCTCAGATAAGAATGCACTGAAATGATCTTGCATCATTTTGTGAAATTGTGGTGATGTCAAAGTTCTTGGATGTCGAAAAAAAGGCATCCTGAATGTCGATGAATTCTGTCCAAGAATATGTGAAAAATTTCCATAATCCATAATACTTGAACTAATACTCGATTTATAATTTTCGGAAGGATCTGAAAAACTAAAAGGTGGGAATTTTTGAAAATCGGATTCATCAACAATGTTATTTGATTCCAACTCTCGGTTAGAAGTTGCAGCTTGTGCAGCAGCGACGGGACAACACTCTGTGCAGCATTCACCTGCTATTGCTGGAGTCTGCGTGGCTTGTAAAGCCGTTGCTGCGGCTGAAGAATTACTTGAAATCTGATTTGATAGCAATATATCTGAGCGAGTAAACTGATTAAAAGGTGGTGCTGGTGAATGTGTGAAATCCAAATATGAATTTGTGAGACCATTAGAAAAATCTCCAACGTCTCGAGCAAAATCACTTTGTGACGATGGTCTAAACATTGAACTATAAATTCTCAGTTGACTTTTGTATTGTGAAGAAGATTTTCTTTGGTTCGAAATCGCACTATCTGAAACGTTTTCCTGTTGTGTTTGTTTATTTTCTCCAGCAAGAAATTGTATGTTAAACCTCTGCTGAAAATAGTCAATAATGTATATAAATGATGTATATAAATGTCAATATTAATAGAAAGGATCGACAAAGACTAATGAGGAACCAATCTTTGAAAAAAACTAAGGGGAAAAAAAGGTACCTCCATAAAAGTTTCTTTTAAAGAATGGATCAAGTTAATAAAACTCGTTAAATAGAAAAAAAAAAATGAACGAACTCAGAATTGAATAAAACTGATTTTAAATGCTAACCTTATATAAGAAAATTTTGAACCAAACAACAAATTGACTTAATGGGTTTAATGTAAAATATGAGTAACACAACTCTCACATGACGACGGGATGTCATATTTACAATTACACAAGACATTTCCAAATCTTTTAACCAGATGGATACCGTTGTGGTTTTCCACAATACATTCTAAAAAAAAAATTTTTTTTTTCTTGCAAAGTTGTTTTTTTATTATATGTGAAATTTTTTTTTTTTTCTTTTTTTTTTCAAGTGTACCATTTGATTCGACTAAATCTTTTACGTTAGAAAAAGAAGCTTGAGTAACGAAACGAGTTAGAAAAATGTCAGAAATAGAGGGACGAAGTTTGCCTCATAATTCAGATTTGTACAAAGAGATTAATAATAATACTCCAAAAGAATTTGATCCAGACAAGGATAACCTTTCTACATTAAATTCCTTTCCAAGTTTTCCGTCGGAAAATACTGCTTCTTTTAACCAATCTACTAAGGAGAATCACACTGAAAGTCTTGAGCAACTTCCTTTCACCGAAAATAACCTTAACATGTTGACAAAAATCTCTCAAAGTGTTCAAATAACATATAACGAAAATTTTTCTACTAGTTCACAACAAGAAAAAGAAATTAGTATAGGCGAACAACAGGAAATAGATAATACCACAAGTATCCAACAAACAAAGAACGAAATAAATTCTAATTCTGTTCAAAATGTTTCCAATTTCGAAGGAGTAGTTGAAACTCCTCTGAATTTGTTTAATCCAGAGCCTGTTGTACAAAATCAGATAGAAATGCCTTTACCCAACTCTAATACCGATATTGATAATTATTCATTGGCCCAGGCTTCTATTGAGCCATCAACTGAACCATCTGTGAAAAAAGAACCGCCATTTAAACAAGAATCATTCATTGAACAACAAATATCTACAGAATCGCAATCCTCTCATGATCAATCTCCCAATATTGGAGTAAATTATCAAAAAAATACTATGAATTCATTACCCGACATAAAAATGGATAATGATAATAATAATAATATGGAAACAGATGATAATATCAATTCCCAAGAAAACGATGATATTAATTTGAAACCTTTTCGCGCTAAGGCTGCCGATCTTTTTAACGTTCCAAATGTTAATCTATCATTGGAAAACAGTTTTCCGGATGAAAATATTAATCAATCCAAAAATGAAGGTAACTTATTAGGTGAATTTGGACAAATTCCTCAATTGTCTAATACTCCTACTATTGAGGGAAATATTTATCAGAGTGAATATGAACAAAATGTACAGTCTAATATTAATCAAACTAATAGAGAACCAAGAAGATGGAGAAATAATCGTTCTCCAATTTCACAAATTGATAATGAGAAAACTGATCATAAAGGTTCATTAAATTTAAGGAAAATATCAGATGCTGAGTTTCAAGCTCTGCCTTCTGGATCACGTTTATTTTTAGGAAATCTATCAACCCATTCAACTTCAAAAAAAGAACTTTTCGATATATTTTCTCCATATGGGGAAATTTTGCAAATATCCATTAAAAATAGTTTTGGATTTGTTCAATATGATAATGTTGAAAGTGTAAAAAAAGCGATCGAAGGTGAAAATGGAAGAATCTTACATGGATTAAAATTGGGCAAGTATCCTTAACGAACAATAAAAAACAAAGAGGAGAAATATACGAATATTATCAAAATATGATACTTACCTTCTTTTTATGATTTAGGGCTGGAAATATCATACAGTAAGCCATGGAATCATTCACCTATCCAAGAAGATGGATTTAAACCTGGCTTTGCTAATCGTCACAAAAAAAATTGGAATCAAAGAGGAGGACATAAAAATGCATGGCAACAAAATGAACGTGAACTTTCTTCTCCCGCTGGCAGAGGACATGGTCAATCTTTTTCTAATCGTAGACATAATGAATATGAACGTCGACCAAATGATCCTAAATTTGCTCGTCGTACGTCATATGATTCAAGAAGTGGATACGATTATCCCGATCATAAAGAATTTCGATCTCCGCAGGAATTTCGTGGAGATTTTAAGGAAGATCATGATTATCTACCACGTGAAGAAAGAGGATTTAGACGTGGCTCCTATCGAGAACCACATCGCGAGGAACGGTTTAAAAATCGTTCTAAGCCTTATAAAATCCCTCCTCGGGATTTTAATGAACGACGACAAAGTCGTGAATATCCATATCGCTCTCAATCACATGATGAGCCCAATGAAGAATTTCCTTTGCCCCGACGTCAAGGGAATGATGTGCCAGAATGTCAAATTATTGTACTTGAAGAAGTAGAACGGTATTTTGTTTTCTCATTCGTTTTCTATGAGTAATCTGTAGTTCCGATCATGAGTGTAAATTTATCCTTATCATTATTATTAAATTTTTTTTCCCCCCAAAAATAGTAACTTCTTATGGCAAGTCGAAAATGCCTTTAGAGAAGCGTCAATTACCGTCCACATCCTTCATTTGTCTCGAAAGCTTCATCCTCAATCTGTTATTCGTCAGATGGTTATAGAAGGAGTTCACGCCGTTGTTTTTATCGAGAGACATCTTGCATTAAACGGGAGAGTGAATATGCAAATATTTGACCAATCACGATCTAGGGACAATGTCAAATACGATGGTCTGTATTTGATTAATAATTATTAGGTTATATTCTTTTGAATTATTTAATTACTTTGCATATTTTTTTACTTTTAGAGTATAACAATATTAAAGTTGAGGAAGCAGTTGGTTTTTTGTTGCGCACTCGAATTTCTCAACGTCCAATAGAAATGAGAACAGCAGATAATAATTTACTCGGACAACAAAATGTACAGCAAATACCACCAATTGTAGGACAACCTGTCTCAACTAATCTTAATCACCTTAATCCAATTTTGAATAGTGTAAATTTCACTGCTCTTGCAAATTTACTTGGATCGCTTCAGCAACAACATCAGCAACAACAACAGCAACAATCTGCACCTGTACCTACTCCTGCTCAAGGAATGCATCCAATTCCTATGATTCCACCAGGTATCCAGCCTTCACATCAACCTAGTTTATTATCTCAACAGCATCCGCCAAATATAGATGTTCAACAATTGCTTCGACAACTTGCTCCTCAAAATTCTGGGCTTCAGAATCAAGCACCGTTTATGTCAATGCCACAACAGTTGCCTAATCTTGTTTCACCACAATCGCAATTTAATGCAGTAGCGATGATGAGTCAGCCTCCTAATATTCTCCCTCAAAATGCAATATCCTCGAACGGAATACCTTTATCACAACATCAGCCTCCACATATGAATCCAAATGTGACTCAATTCTCAACACCAATTTCCGCCCCAGCTAATGTAGTCGATTTAATGGCTCAATTTAAACAATATAGTAATCAACATTAAAAAGGTATATAAATGAATTTAATAGTATATATAGCTCTAAATATCGTATCTTTTTCCTTCGGAAGAAATTCTAAGCGTAATTTTTGTAATTTTTTTATTTTTATTTAATAAAAATTGCATTTTGCTTATATATAAAAAGTTTATCACGTGCTTAATTATTGTGCGAATTTCACGTGTTCGTTATAAGTTATTGGACCGCCACCTTTTCCATTTTTACTATTTGTGTTTGTACTTTTTTCGATGTGAACTATTTGTCACCTTATTTGTCACATGGAAGATTTCGGTCAAGTTCTATAATGCCGGCCAAAAATTAGTGGAAATGAAATTTTTTTGTGGTGATAATTCATCACGAGTGACCTCAATAATTTGTCATGACCCTTCTGTAAATTTTTTTGTTACAAGGTAGTGCTGAAATTTCAATTTAAAAATTAGTGCAGAAGTACATATTAAAATACTAACATCATATTGTCCATTTTAATTTGTCATGGATATATATTTTTATTTTAATATGCAATATTAATAACATAATATTTAAATAGCAATCATGTAAAACAAATGTTCAAAAATTATATTTACAAAATAAATGTTTTTGAAAATTTATATTTAAATTTTACTTGAAATCCATCTTTAAATGCTTTGTTCTAATTGAAATCTGTTAAATTAATTATCTGGATTCATTTTTTATGTTATAAAAAACTCATTAGTATTTAAAAATGAAACCAAAAGTATAATATTAATTATGTATTAATATTTGAAATTGAGATTTATTATATTAAATATATTACCATCCATCAATAATCTGTATTGATTTCATAATCTGCTTCATTATTTTCCATTTTTTTTTACTTCTAAAATATTTATTAGTGGTTTTTACTATTATACTAAAGATGGAAGTCTTTATGAATATGTTGCAACATTCTACTGTTATAACATATGTTAGAATATAGTTGCAACATTTGAAAAAATTTATTAATTTATTGCAATATGTATTAATTTGTTGATTAGTTGCAAGTTTTATTTAATTGGAAAAATATCATTTCATTAAATGATAAACAAATCATTCAATTGAAAAGATCCAAAATATCGTTTTATCAAATGATTTAAGTATTGTTTGATGAAATAATCATAAATAACGTTCTAATTGAATAATTTAAACATCGTTGATAAATGATTCAAAATATTATTTTATCAAACATTTAAGCATCGTTTGATGGAACAATCAAAAAATCATTTCATCAAATGATAAATGAATCATTTGATAGAATGATCCAAAATATCATTCTATCAAATGATAAATGAATTATTTGATTAGAATAATTAAAATATCATTCTACCGAATGATAAATGAATCATTTGATGGAATGATCCAAAATATTGTTCTATCAAACAATAAATGAATTGTTCAATTGGAATAATCAAAATATTATTCCATCAAATAATAAATAAATTATTTGAATAGAATGATCCAAAATATTGTTCTATTAAATGATAAATAAATCGTTCAATTAAAATGATCAAAATATCGTTCTATTGAATGATAAATAAATCGTTTGATAGAATAATCCAAAATATTATTCTATCGAATGATAAATAAATCATTCAATTGAAATAATCAAAATATTATTTCATCAAATGATAAATGAATCATTCAATTAAAATAATCCAAAATATCATTCTATTGAACATTAAATGAATTATTCAATTGGAATGATCTAAAATATCATTCAAATCAAACGATTTAAGTATCTTTTAAATAGAATGATCATAAATATTATTCCATCGAACGATAAATGAATCATTTAATTGGAATGATCCAAAATATCATTCCATCAACAATCAATGAATCGTTTGATTAAATCATTTGATTAGAATGATCTCATCAACTAAATCAAAATTTAATTACAATTTAATTACAACTTTATTATAAATTTAATTGATTTTTCTTTTTTGATATATGTAGAATTTAATTTTTTTAAAAAAAAATTAAAAAAAAATAAAAAATTTAATAAGTTTTACTGGTAACAAAAATCTCTTTGAATTTAAAAAACACATAAAATTTGACTAAATTACCATCTCTATTCCAATCACCGCCTTTAAAATTATATCATTTTATTATCCCTTTAATGGTAAAAAATTGTAGGCAAATTTGCCTGCAATTTTAAACAACTTTAATTAATTTTTAACATAAATTTTCATTATTTAACCTATCGATTTTTTTTGATTTTTACTTAAAATTTATTATAAATTTTATTATAAAAATATTGGTTTTAA